TGGCTTCCTGAACTGGAGGCTGGAGGGTTGTTTGGGACTCTCAACACCAAATGCTTCCCCCTGCATCCTTTGAAGTTGAAAACCATGAGGGGATCTTGGACTCGAATGGTTTGTGCACCAGAGCAGCCAGACACTGGGAGTCTGGCTTGTGAGAAATGCATTCATTTTAATCAATAAAAACCACAAGAAAATGCATTGTATCCTCTCCTACTCATGATTGTGTTTGGGAGAGACGGGTCACAATTCACAAGCCTTTGTCTGTTCAGTGTATTAATCCCAGAAGAGTTGCCTGTTCTGTAATCCCCAGCTGCTGTTCTCTGATGGTTGCAGGTGCTGATGGCCTTTTACCAGCTGGAAATCCTGGAAGAAGAGATGATTCTCAATTGGTTTTCTCAGCAGGACACATCTGATAAGGGCAGGCAGCTTCGCAGAAACCAGCGGGTAAGTCTGTAGTAGTGGAGGATTCACTAGCAGCCTTAGACAGCCTTGCGTGGACTCATGGCCCTTTAGAGATCACCGACTGCTTTTTTCTGGAGTAGTGATCATGGTACATCGGACCAATGAAATACATAGGGCCTTTACATAGAGCAGAAGCTACATGTCTGTTTTTTCTTCTGTAACGACTGTGATTGAATAAAGAATGGAGGTAGCACAGGAAGACATGTTTTTTAGCAGGTTTTGCAGGAACTGAGTGCTGGGGTCACACCATATACTTTGAACTTTGGAGAAGCTTCTCTAAGCCAGACAACTATTTCATATGGGCTGTGGCCAAACGCAGTATTGCCTTCTGCATGACACCTTTCTACCTGGCTAGCCAATCTCTTGGCATCCCCATCTCTGAGCACTTGCAGTGCTGAATGGTTGGTTTCAGAATAGTCATTTCGTAACTGGCTTGCGATTGCCAGAAACATCAATGCTTTCTTTGTCATCGAGTCGCAGAAAAATAGGGCTTGAAGGAGCCTCAGGGGGTTGGATCAAATCCAACCCCCTGTTCCAGGAAGGACCATCCATGCCTAAACCATCCAAGCCCAGTGTGCATCTGACCCAGGGGTTGGCAAAATATGACCTGTTGGCTGGATCCAGTTCACCCAGGGATTTTATCCAGCCCATGGGTGGGTCCCTCAGCTCAGGCTTACCCAGGTTTGTGGGGGCCACCCAGGCTGTGGCATGTGGCTGGTCCCAGGTGTGCAGCAGGGCTGGGGCAGTGTGGTAGCCAGATGCCTCTTCCTGGCAGCCCCTGCTGTGGTGGCTCTTTCTAGTAGCCTCTACCAGTGTTGCCACTGCCACTGGACTCAGCCCTGTTGTCTGGCCACCTGACCGGTTTGCCCTGCGCCCATTGTTGGGGGTGCCAGATGGAGCAGGTGGGTGGGGTCTCCGTGGAGACTGACCCGGGACCCCCGCAGGCAGGGTGTGCTCAACCAGGTGTGTGGGATAGGGGCACGGCTGGACGGGAAGCAGGACAGGTGGCTGGGGCCTGAATAACAGAGTGGTGACCACTTGGGGCCAAGGCCGGAGCCGAGTTGTGATCCACTCCCTGCATGATGGATTGTGCCCGGCCCAACCCAGGAGGGGGGCGGAGTGCACACCTATGACCTGGCCCCTGCACCCACTCCAGCACAGGCACACTCAGGCAACCCCAGTACGGCATAGCTGCAGGGTAGCGTGGCTCCAACAGATCGTGCCCAGATTAGGCTGTCTTGCCGGGCTGTGCCGCTCTGCACCCACGTTGTATTGGGGCTGCCCACGTGCACCTGTGCTGAGTGGCATGGGGCAGCCTAATTCGGTCACGGTCCATTGGAACCATTCCACCCTTCAGCTGCGCTGTACTGTGATTGCCTGCAAGTGCCTGTGCTGGAGTGGGGGCTCCCCACCTGTGTCAGGCCAGTCACAATCCATCATGTGAGGAGTGGATCGGCCCTGGCCCCTTGCTGTCACTGCCCTGTGGTCTGGGCCCGTTGTGCTCCTGGATGCTGGTCCCTGCCTGGCTGAGCACGCCCTGCCCTTGGAGGTCCCAGACCAGTCTGCATGGAGACCCTGCCCATTGCCTCCAGTCTGTCTGGTAATCTACAGCTTGGGGAGTATTTAAGAAAACTAGGTGCAACTGTCATTGCTTCTTTCTCTTTAGCTTTTGAGGGGTCAAGACTTGGCCCCAACCTTGCTCTTTTCAGTGGGGTTCTGGGGGTGCCACGGCCCTAAGGAGGCCTCTTTTGGGATCTGAGGAGGATCCGTTTCCCATGGCATCTGGATTTAATTGTCTCTTTCTGCTTGTTTGCTCTGTTTTCACTGCTCCCAGTCTCCCCCGCCCTCTGAACTGTGGTCATGTCTGACAGCTGAGACCCTGCAGTCATCTTGTTAAAGTATCTCTGCTGAGTGGTTTATTTTACATAATTGCCTTTTGTTGTCCCTGCAGCTTCAGAAGTTTATCCAGTGGCTGGAAGAGGCAGAAGAAGAGTCGTCTGAAGGCGACCAAGACTGACGCAGCAGGCTGACATGAGATGGGGCACTCCTCACTGCCTTTTCAGGAGGGAGGGAGGGACCTCTTGCCAGCCAGGCTTTGCCTGGCAGGGTGGGCCAAGGAAGATCGATGCCAGTGCATGGTGTGTAGGTGTGGGGCCTGAAATCTAAGTGACTGACTGACAATCCCATTGTGAACTACATTTATTCCCAGCCCTCCCCTCCCAAATGGCACCTTACATGGGACAGTCACAGCATGATGTGAGAACCGGTGGGGGCAAATAGGAGGTGCATATGTCTAAGATCTTTCTTGGGGCCTATACATGGTGTATTAAGCTATCTATTGGGAGTCTCTTGCTCCTAATGTGGGGTGACAGAGACAGATGCATACAAATTCCATGTCATTCTGAACTATTTCTGGTTTGTGTAAATGTGGTCCTATGACCAGGTTCATTCAAAGTCACTGACATTCTTTGAGCTCATATATGAAGATCCCCTTCCCAAGGGACAGTGGCAAGGTTGGCGCACACAGTGCGGCTTTAGTGACCTGGAACTCCTGTGGCGGCAGAAGGCCAAGTTTGAGTTTGCCTAAGGTACCTTGGAAGGAGAAACCCTCGGGCTGTCTTTTGAGGAGGAGGACCTCTGGCCTTGAGGCATGCCTGGATCTAACTTGGACTTGTCCTGTGGTCTTGGCAAAACGCGTCATCTTTTGTGTCAGTGTCTTTGTGTGCGTAAAGGGGAAGATGCTCACTTGCTTGTCTTGCAGGGGGTTGGTTGCATAGATATGCACTTAGCCAATGAAGTGCTGTCTGGAGCAATATGATGTGCCTTTCCTGGACCTCTAGATGCTGGCAGACATGGTGCTTTGGAGAAGAAAGGTTTTATTTTTTCTCTTTTTTTTTTTTTTGAAAGGGAATGGAGATGTTCAGCACCAGCTGAGCGCGCTGCTCAGGGCTTTGAGTAGGCCTTTCACTTGCTGATGTTACCTGCCCTGCTTCAAGTGTTAGCAACAGTACCAGCCACTCTTAAGGGAAAAGCAGTCTCCTGAGCTCTGTTCTAGTATGAAGTGAGGAAAGGGCTTTCCTTTTAAGTAGTAGTATTCTATTTTTGAGTCTCCCTACAAGATTTTTGTTCCACACACTCAGAGCAAGTGGGATTTTTTAATTAATTTATTTATTTATTGGAGGGAAGAAGAATGAAAGGTTCTCCAAGGGGTTGCCAACCTAGGAGTCCCAAGGTAAGTCTTGGGTGTGTAGGAGGAATGAAGGCGGCCTTTTTTTCAGCCCACCTCTACTGCACCATCTTCCCATGCTAGCAATAGAGCGCTGAAGAGCAGCATTTCTGTACATGTCACTGTGCTACTTTCCTACCTTGTTCTCCACCAAGAGCGGAGCAGAGAATCAGCATACAATTGTCCGTAGATCATGTCGAACATGCTTACCTTGCCACTATCCCTTTAGGAAGAGGAGTGTTGAATAGATCCCTTGGGGAGATGCATTGGACCTGCTCACTTGGCATGTGTTCTGGGTCAGTGGTGCCACATGGTTTTGTGGCAGGGCGCTGGTGGAGGGTGGGAATGCTGCCTCTTACACACGAGCATTGGGAAGGGGTGATCTTTGAGCACTCAGCATATCTAGACTGTGCCTGAAGGCCCTTGGTTTCTGACACTGGAACCCAGTCTTGTAAACGTCGGGAAAATAGTCGGTATCTGAACTTTCTGTATCTGCCAATATTTAATTCAGGGAGCGATTAAAACCATCCTGGTATAAAGAATCAGCTGTTTGAGTACGTGTCTCTGAGCGTGGCATTACCTGTGAGTTCTGCTCTGGTCTTGCTGGCTATAGATTTCTCCATAATAACCCATAGCTACCTTATTTCTCAGGAGTCCCCTGTGGTTCAGTGGTAGAATCCTTGTCTACCGCACAGGAGACCTGGGTTCAATTCCTAGATGCTCATGCAACTACAGTCATGGAGGCACCAAACATCTGGTCTTTGGATTTTGTCTCAGTGGCCTGAAGGGAGGATGGAAGGTCTGGGCAACCTCCACTCTTCCAAAAAAAATTCCTGCCCAGGCATATGCATCGAAGATCTGGGTGGCCCTCATGCATACACTGTGATCCCGGAGGATCAACAGTTGCCACTTTATTTTTCAAAACGATCCAAAGTTGTGCTTATAACAGGCATAAAATGAGCATGCCGGTGGTGTGGGGTATGTGTTCAATCCTATCCAGCAGTGTTACCATTAGGAATTGCAACCGAGCTCACCCAGTTGAAACTCCGGCACTTCAGATTCCTGCAGTGGGTGAGGCTCCTGTTTATTCAGAACAAGTTAAAAGGATGTGCTTTAAACCTGGCCGAAGCATGATCCTCCCTGCCATACTGCGCATTAAAGTATGTCGTATGCCATACCCTGCTGGGGAAGAGGTGGGTAACAAACCCCTTTTTCAAAAGTGTTTACCAGCCAGCTGCGAGATTCAGGAGTTTGAAAATCTCCCTGGACATCCTGAGTATTTTTTAATTTTTTTTTACAGGGTAAAGAAGGTTAAAAAGAAGGTTTCGTCTGTAATTCCGTAACTGGCTTGTTTTGGCCAGAGCCTGTGGAGTCTTTGTGCCAAGAAACAAACAATTCTGCTTTCTGTGTGTTCTGCATTCCACAGCCTGAGGTCTCTGCTCTCAAGTGGCCAAGATCTCTGTGTTGTGAGCCACCATCTGACCCAAGGGTTGCAGGCACATACCTAAGGTAGAGGTTCAAAGGGCTAAGAATGTCGCTGCGTGAGGAAGCTTTGTCCTTCCCCCCAGAGTCTCTTCTGCATGGGGTTCCCCCCCTCCCACCGTGGCAATCTCTGGCTACGTTGCTCAGAACAGAGACCAAGTAGCATATTTGACACCCTCCAAGCCAGAGCTGTGGTGTGTTAAAATGGCTCAATGGCACATAAACGTGTGTGTGTGTCTAGATGTATATAGACATACGTGTGTGCATCTATAGACACCTCTCTCTCTCTGTGCGTATGGAGAGTTGATGACGGCATTGAAGAGCGGGACAGGCCCAATGATCTGTATGGCTTTCATAGATTTCATAGACATCAGGGCTGGAAGGGACCTCGGAAGATCATCGAGTCCAGCCCCCCGCCCAAAGGGCAGGAAGCTAGCTGGGGTCATAGGATCCCAGCAAGATAAGCATCCAGTTTCATCTTGAAGGTGTTCAATGAAGGCGCTTGAACCACCTCCGGTGGCAGGCTGTTCCAGACCTTGGGGGCTCGGACAGTAAAGAAGTTCTTCCTTATGTCCAGCCTGAAACGATCTTGAAGTAGTTTGTGACCATTCGACCTCGTCATCCCTTGGGGCGCTCTGGTGAACAAACGTTCCCCCAGATGCTGGTGGTCACCCCTGATAAACTTGTAGGTGGCCATCAGATCACCCCTGAGCCTGCGCTTTTCCAGGCTAAAGAGCCCCAGGGCTCTCAGCCTGTCATCGTAGGGTCTGCTTCCCTGGCCTCTGATCATGCGCGTGGCTCTTCTCTGGAAGCTTATTCGGAAGTGAGTTGGATGGATGCAAACAGTGCTTTGGAGGAAGAAGCCTTGACACTGCAGTGAAACATGCTGGGGTTTTTTTAAGACCAATGTGAGTGGTGGATCCCTGAGGGTTTTTTTTAAGGCCAAAAGAGGCCAGTGCAGTCATCTAGTCTGACAGCCCATCTACAACAGATCAGAATTGACCTGCTGGGTCCTGGATCAGGCCCATGATTTCTGCTTGAAAGACAACGTATGTTTTAGACAGACATCCCTGCTTCGTTTAAAGAATTAAGTGCTGGAGCCTAAGCCTATTCACCTCGCTGCATCTGGGACTGGGCTGAGCAGGTTTTTGTGCTGCGCTAAACATTTCATAGATTTTGTAGACATCAGGGCTGGAAGGGACCTTGCGAGACTGTGGGGTCCAGCCCCCCCCCGCCCAAGGGGCAGGAAGTCAACTGGGCTCAAATGATCTGAAATGCCTGAACCCAGCCTATAGCTGAGTGTAACGGCAGAAGCGATGGTGCTCGGTGGTGCTGCAACGTTTCTTAATGCAGGTACAAAGCTACAGCAGCGATTCTCCAGCGGGGCGTTGCAGCACCGGGGTACCTTGAGATCCTTGGAAGGCGGCGTGCCATGCGATGTTAGCGTTAGGGGTGCAGACATGATTCACAAAATAGAGGCAGCGAACCATGGTGGTCTGCAGTCAGGCAAAAGGTAGGATAGAGATGCACTTCATAGACTGACTAAACCGGAGTTGCATAAGCTTTCGTGAGTCTGAGCTCAGACTCGCACAAGCTTATGCATCTCCTGTTTAGTCTGTAAGGTGCATCCCTGCCCTGCCTTCACAGGATGAACGCAGAGATTTCAGATAGGAATTCATGATGTTGACACCATGCTGGCCTCTTGTGTCCGTTCTGAGTTCTTAGCAACAGAAAAACTGCACTTCTGTTTTTCCACAGTCAAAAAAAAAAGTGAAAACTAAAAACTGGCATTTTCTGAGGGGTGCTGGGGGTCTAAAAAGGGTGAGAACCACTGTCCGGTGGCATGGGGCTGCTTCACCTAATCCTTCCCTGCCGGTTTCTTTGGCTCCTATCTCAGTGACTTTGCAAGACTTGCGGGCAGCGGAGTCTCTCTGTGTATTGGCTCAGTGTATTTAAGCACTCAAACCACTGCCGTTGCATCTTGGTTAAGGATGCAAGTTTCAGGGTTTTCGGTTGTAGCCGTGTTGGTCTAAGGACGCAGGCAGGCAAGGTTTGTTGGGTGGATGTGATATCTTTTGTTGGAAAGAAGTTCTTTGCAAACTTTCAGGCACAAACACCCTTCTTCAGGCACGGGGGGCTCTGCTGGTCTGAGATCTCCAAGGAGTGAAAGTAGCTAAAAGCGTAACAGGATGTCAGTACGAGATTGCAAATAGGTGGGAATTACAATCCCGTACTGACATCCCGTCACACTTTTAGCTTCTTTCACTCCTTGGACATCTCAGACCTGCAGTCTCCCTCTGCCTGTTCTTTGCAAGCTTTTGGGTACCAACGCCCGTCTTCAGGCACAGGGAGACCGCTGTTGTTTTGAGATCTGCAAGGAAATGCAAGCTTCTGCATTGGGGTGACGGAGGCGAGCCAAAAGCCTGTGGCTGTCACGCTGCCTGCCTTGCACCCAACTTCCCAGGCCCTGCTGGAGGGCACCGTGCAAGCCTGGGACAATGAAAGACTTGCTCTCTTTAGCTAGCAATAAAGGCTTCCAACAGGGCAGTGAAGTTTCCCCGCCTGTGCTGTGCGCACGGAAGAGCCGGGGCAGGGAAGACCAGCCATGGGATGAAAACGTCTCCTACTCAGCAGCAACCCCTCGATTCAAGGATGCTCACCACCGTGGTTCACTGATGGGTCTTGAGGCAACTTGAGTCGTTGAGTGGCCGACCTGTCTGCAGGAGCGGCCGGCTTTTCTGTCGGAGACGGTAGGCTGTAGGCCACAATTTCTCTCCTTTCCCTTCGGCTTTTTTCGCTGCTTCAAGGGCAGGACGCTTTACCCCGACATGGGCAGCCGCTCGGTTGAGGATGCAGCGCCATGGGAGTCCCTCAGCAGCCAGCTCCTCCCGGGTCTTGGTGTCGGCATGTTTTCTTGAGGTCCCTCTTCAGTGCGTCCTTGTGGTGTTTCCTCCGGCCGCCCCGACACCTCAGGCTGTTAGCGCCCGTTGCGGGAGTGGGTGCGGGTGGCGGGTGCCCTTCGTGTTGCGCGGGAGGTGGCGGATGGTGGTGTCGTGTCGCGTCGCGTCGCGTGGGTGGGT